AACAACTTTGTTGTCAAAAAGTGTAAAACAAAAATATATTGAAGGTAGAGTGCTTTGACCAAGAGGAAGATGGTTATAGGTAAGCCTCTCCGGTGCCCTTGCCTGGTGCTGGGGAGCTCAGCCTCCGGGATCCAGACACTGCAGGGGAGCCACCAGGGAAGAGGAAGGGAGGAGAAAGCACATCGGCTGGCCTTGTTTCCCTCATTAAAATATTCCTGTAATTGGTGGTGGGAAATTGGGGAAACTAAATGCATCAGTGTTAGAAAAAAAAAAAACTGCCACCATTTGGCAAGAAAAGATAATACTGTATACTAGGCCTTTTGAAAAGGAGACTGGATTTGACCAGAATGCCAAACAGTAAGAGAAAGACCAGTTGGATGCCCTCCCAGGAGTCAGATGCCAAAACAGCCTCAGTACGCAGCTCCGGCTGTACCTAGAGGGGGTGTCCCTGGTCACTCAGCTCGTTCTGCTCTTGGGCAGCCTGCTGCACAGCTGCCACCTGTGCATATCGGCCTGCACCTTGCATGTAACTCAGGCTTTCCAGAGACCTCACTGGAACATGGTGAGATGCTGCTAGGCACCAGCCTGCAGTGGGAGATGGGAGGGGTGGGGCTCAGGTCTTGCAGGATCTGTGTGCAAACGCCAACTGCCCCTTGCCAACTGGGTACCTCTGGACATCTTCCAACCTCCGTGATCTCTAAGACTTACAGAGCCACACCCGTGATCCCAGCTACTCAAAGGCTGAGGCTGGAGGATCGCAAGTTTGAGGCAACCTTGGCAATTTAGTCAGACCTCATCTTAAAAAAAATTTTTTTAAATAATAAAAAGAACTAAAGTGTAGCTCAGTGGTCGAGCACCCCTGGGTCCATCCCCAATATCCAGGGGGGAAAATTACACCCCCTCTATTCTTGTAAGAGTTACTTTAGGGGCAGATAGAGCTTGGTACCTATAAGCTCTCATTCTGAGTAGCTCTTCTCAGTTGATAGACTATCCTGTGATCCTAAAATGTACCTTCCAGAAATAAGGATAACCTGGCCACTCGGATGCAAGATCTTGTCACTAACACTCCACAGCACCCACTGTGAGGTTGGAGGGATCCTGTTCACTTCCATTCTTGAGAAAGAAACTGTCTTGCTTTGGAACTTCTTTGTGTCCCAGAATCCAATGCCTCTTCCTTTGAAGCCATTTTCCAATAGGACCCAGGACGTGCTCCAGCCTGGCCTCTCGAAGCCAGGCCTTAGCCAGCAGCCTGGGTGTCGCCTGAAGGCAGTTGGAAATGCCAGGCCTCGGCCATTTGCGGCCTCCTTCATGAACCCCGCTTGCTGGCAGGACCCCAGATACTGTGTGTCTCTTGCTGTTCTTGTGCGCGCAGCGTCCCTAGTAAGAACCCCCGAGGCTCACTACTTGAGAAGCCTGAGAAGGCTTCTGCTCTTGGGCATATTTCAAACACGTTCCTAGGTGACCCAGCCTGCCCGCTCCAAGTGCCACATTCTGAGCAATACCTTGCACAGGGGGCTGCTTGGCCACAGCTCATCCCCCAGACAAGAGGCGAGGCTCCAGAGGGCTTTCTCTCGGGGCGAGAGTGCCTGCCTGGAGGAAAGCCACATGCCACCCAACCAGCAGGCGGCCTGCCCCATCTGGTGACACTGTCGTGGAGAACTGGCATGAAGAACCCATGCTTGCCCTTCGCAGCCTCCAGGCAGAAGTAGCATGCACACTTCCTCTTCCTGATGCCTTGACTAGAACTGTCCACGTGGCCCAGCCTTGTGGCAAGGGCAGCCGGAAAGTGTCCCCACATGCCAGGAAAGGGAAGCCTCAACTGCCCTCATCCTGCATCCCCACCCTTGTCAGGCCCTTGCTCACCCACCTCTTCTGAGACCTTCTTGTTGGGGACTTGGCAGAGTTCAGTCAAGTTAGGGGAACTGATGCTAACCAAAATCTCCAACAACAAAAAGCCAGTTCTGTGGGTTCTGATGTGAAGAAATAGGAGCTAGACAGGAGGGGAGGCTGGCAAGGCGGGTGGGCAGGGACCCGAGGGTAGACGTACAGGAGCAGGCCCAGGGCTCCAGGGTCAGGGAGCCTTGGCCTCCTGTTCCCTGGGAGGCAGGGACAGTTGTGGTGTGAGGGTGACCATATGTCTGCTGGATGGCGAGCACCTGCGCATCGTGTGCTGGTCCTCACGCTGGCCCCAGCCTCTCCACTTTCCTGGAGGGGGAGCCACCACTAAATGAGAGGACATTGCATACCCACATGGCCTTCTGAAGAGGCAGGACCAGGGTCCATGCCCCAAGCCCACACCCTTTCTCCCAGCGCTTGCTGCTGAGAAAGGACTGGAAAGAGCCCTCGGGATCTTCTGGTCACCCTGATAGGAAAGACGCAGCCTAGGCTGTGCAGTGGCAACAGGGGAGAGGACACAGGAGGAACAAGATATGTACCTGGGGGCTCTGAGGCTGCTGAGAGTGGTGGTAGGAAGAGGCCCCAGGGACAGCCTTGGCTCTGGTCATTTAGCAAGGCCACGGGGAGCAGGTCTGTAAAGTGCTTGAGATGGCCCTGCGATGAGCACCAAGCCTGGCCTGGGGACAGCACCTAGAGGTGATCAAAACTAGGTTCATCTCATGGATGGCTTGGACAGCTCAAGTTCAGCTGGAAAGGTCAAGGTAAGAGGTGAGCTGAGGAAAGGAAAAGGAAGTGGACACAGGTCTATACCCCAGGGAAGATGCACTCAAGCGGAACTTGGGAAGCCAGGCGGGAGGCGCAGGGACAGCAGGGCTGGGCAGGGCTGGGTTAGGGCATCTTGGGGCCATGCTCTTGTTGGCATTTGAGTCGAGGCCCCAGATTCCAAAGACCACAGTTAAGTGAAGCTCGCAGATTCTAAATGTTGATCATTTGTGTTAAAACTGTGAAAAGAAAGAAGCCCAGCTGAACAAAGCTTCCTGCCTTCGCCGTGCCTCTGGGTCATCAGCTCCAGCTGTGGGTATAGCAAACCCTGTGCCCTCCCGGGGGGCCACCCAGAGTTGGTGCAAGTGGACAGTGCCCTGGGTGGGAAAGGAGCCTTGCCCAGAGCACCCCAGCCTGGCTCGCTGCACACTAGAGCAGGCTGCAGCCAGGGCCTTGGAAAACCCCTGGGGAGGCCAGGAGAGAGCTTCCAGGAACCCTGTTCCTTTCTGTGACAGCACACGCAGGTACAGGGAACGTCCGTGGACCTCACAGGGTACTTCGTGGGCTTTCTTAGCCAGGGAGCTGGATGGGCAAGAACGAAGCCCAGGTTCAAGCCCACGGGCCTTGTTTGCCGAGCTTCATGCGGCTCTTCCCCTCACCCGACTGCCACCATCAGTCATTTTGCAAGGTTATCATTGCGACTGTTAAAAAAAAAGAAAAAGAAAAAAAGCATTGCTCATTTTAGAAAGCTGTCTGTCAAAATGCTTAAAATAAAGCAGGCTTGGCCCTTGGGGGAGAAAGCTCCACCCAGCTGGAAAGTGAGAATTCCCCAACAGCACGGGACACGAGCTGCGGCTGCCTTTGCAGGAAAGCCAGCCCCACGTTTATGGCAGTGGGCATTTTTTTCTCAACACATGTGTATTGAGCACCTGCTGTTTGCCTGGTGATATTCCAGGCCTGATAGTCGCAGCATGAACCAGATGATTCCTGCTCACAGAGCTGATCACGTAGCGGGGCTCACCAGCTACCAGGCTGCCCTGGAAAGTCTGGTGGGAAAGAGGCAGGTGCAGGCCAGTTGGCCGGAGAGCCGGTGGGGCTGTTGGCACGGCTGGGCAGGAGGAGCCCCTCCCATGCCACTCCTCCCAGCCTCCTGGGCCTACTGGAGGGTGTCACTTGCACACCCATTTTATCCTGGGGAAGCTGAGGTTATGTTCACACGAGGCTGAAGACAGGGCCCTGGAAAGCCCAGCTGTGGAGGCTGTCCCCATACCTAGTGGTGAAGCCTCTCTGACGGGTGTGGGGACCAGTGTCAGGCTCACGCACAGCCCACTGAGTGGGGTCAGCACAGTGTTCCTGGCGCCCCCTGCTGGTGTGCGCGACTACTGCTCAGGCCAGCTGGTAATGAACACCTTGGACCTGTGTTTATTTTTGTTCTCAAATTCAAAGATTTTTGTCTAGAGTTTTTTGTTTTCTTGTGTTTTGTTTTGTTTTAACCACAACATTTATAATGCCAAGAATCCCTAATGAGGACAATCAAATAAACCATTAGTTTGAACACAACTATCAAATTAGTAGAATCTATTAATTTGCTGATGGATAGCAGGCATTAGCGATTCATGTTGTCATCACATTTCAGACCTGCAGAGAATCGCAGACCAGACCCTTTGTCTTTTGGAAAGGACTGAGTGGCAGAAAGGATGAATAGCTAAGTCAAGGTCAGGAAGCAGTGCCCTGTCCACTGGTCATGAAACTGCTATGGCAGTTTCCTGGCCCATGGAGTGGAGATGTGGGTGTGGCCCACGAAGTGCTGGAGACACCTGGGAAGGTAGCCACCATGAGGCCTGAGGAAGGGTCCTCAGAAATGAGCAGTTCCCTGACCACTAGGCCCACGTGGCTACAAGTTAGGAGACAGGGAGAATCTAAGGGAGCAAGAGGAGACCCTGCGTGCTGCTGGGAGAATGGTCTCAGCATGGCCGCCAGGCTCCTTGCCTGCATCCTCGTGTCGGGAGCAGGGAGGCCTGTCCGCCCTCTGGTCTGCCCTGCCTTCTCCCCACTGGCCTCAGGCCACTGCCTTCCCACCCCTAGCGCTCCAGCCTGTCCGGGTTTTCTGTGGAGGGCTGTTCCGTACTCCGCTTCCCTCCGGGACTGACCTTTCTGCCTACACACACCTCCTCCCCTCTCTGCCCCCAACTCTGCTACCTAATTTTCCTACTCAAGATTTTATTTCAGATGTCCTTTTCTCTGAGAGACATCCAAAAGCAGGGCTGGTGCCTATAAAAGGAGGCGTCCATCCCGCTGGCCATCTCTGACTGCTGACTCCAGCCACTGTCCTTCATTTTCAGGTGACAGACCATGCCACCACTGCCCTGCTCCACTACCAGCTGCCCCAGATGCCAGATGTTGTGGTCAGGTCCTTCATGGTAAGTGGCTTCAGGAGCCTTGGAGTGTGCACACACAGCTGAGGGGGGAAGCTGCACCCTCGGCCCGTGGGCTGCCATGGGAGCCGGGTGGGAGATGGCACCGCGGGCTCCCTGTCGTGGCTGGACAGGTGGTCGCAGAAGGATCCTCTAAAAGTTTCTCACGTGGCTCTTGACCTGCCCCACCCAGGTCCTGTGCCTGGCCCCAGGCTTGCAGTGGTGAGTCTCGGCTGGCTGCACCCAATACAGTTCGTTCTTGGATTTCAGAGCAGCTAGCAGTGAGGGCAGCCCCCGGCAGCCTGGCAGCTCTTGAGGGGTGTTCAGAGGTTTGCAGTGCCTATTCAAACTCTTCTGGCTTGAAATGGAACCCAGTGGGAGTACTCGCACCGCAGCTCTGGGCAGAGACCACAGTCAGGACCTTTCCCTGGCATTGGCCTGACCAGGGGTGACATTGCGTTGTATGTCCAAGGCAGACCCTGCCAGCTCTTTCGCCTCGCACAGACTTGGCCGAATACGCTGGGTCACTAGGCTCCATCTTTCACTGCCCACAGAACTGCCTTTTGTCTTCTGCTGGAAAGGCTGCCTGGTAGAAACCCCCTCAGACTTCCCTTTAGTGAGTGCAAATCACTGTTGACAGCCAGGTGGGTGTCTCTGGTCCCATCCATCCTGTCACGTGGGCCTCCACCAGCGGGCTTCCTAGAAAGCCTGTCACGCACTGCTCAGAAGACAAGCCCAGCTCATCGCTTGGCTTCCTAATGTTAGGAGGGCAAACAAGGAGCAGTCCATGAAGGCTTCCTCCACATGCAAGAGGGCAGGCAGCCAGCAGCCACCCGGTAGAGGGAGGCCTGCTTTAGTCTCACATTCTGGGTCGTCCGTTCCCTTCAGCTCTGACTTGGGGATCTGGGAAGGATGCAAACGTGCTTGGCACCAGAGGATAAGCAGTGTAGCTGACTGATCCGGTGACCTCCTCGTGACTTGCTGTAGAAACCCCCAGGCCACCCTGCTGACGGAGGTGGCATGGATGGGCCGCACTCTGCCATCTCGAGGGCCGCCCAGCTGAAGCAGGGGATTCATGTAACTCAGCTGACCTCTTCAGATAGCCGTTTTCTCTTGTCGACATAATTCAGGAGAATGTTAATTGATGAGAGTCTTGCACCCCTGCACAGTGAGAACTGGCTCAATTGTCGTGCGTTTGGCTCTGTTGGGTGTTGGGCTTCTTTGCTTTGTTTTGGTGGGGTTTTTTGGTAGCAAATCTCCTTGAGTTTGAGAATTGAGTTATGTACATCTCATCCTTATAGATGATGCCCGAAAGCTCTCTGCTCTCTGAATTAAAGTGTGTATTTGCTGCTTATTATGTGATTTGGTGGCACTGGGGTTGTCTCCACTTATCCCTTCCCAGAGTGTTAGGCCACATCCTGACAGTGAGCAGTGACCTCAGAAATCAGATTAGAAGGCGCTGTGCCCTCCATGCAGAATTCTCCAGCTGTCAGCTATTCCTAGACTCCCTTGGCATGTGGCCATGCCCCCTACCTGGCAGCAAGCCAGAAGAGGGTCCTTGCCAGGCTCCGTGCAGCGTGGTTGGTGCTGCCCCAGGGCCTCCCTGCCAGGGAGAGTTGCCCTCTCTGTGCTGATAACTCGGGGTTGGAGGGGAGGGGGGCTTCAGAACCCAAAGTCCCTCGAGACAGCCTTGTGGGTTCAGCAGCTTCTCTCTGGGGCCAAAGCCAGCTCCAGGGCTCTGTCCTTGGGGCCACTAGGTTTGATGGGAGGGTATTGGGAAGCACCAGGGCTGCTGCATTTGTCCTCCCTTCTCTTTTCAGACCTGGTTAAGAAGCTACATAAAGCTGTTCCAGGCCCCATGTCAGCGCTGCGGGAAGTTCCTGCAGGATGGCCTGCCCCCCACGTGGAGGGACTTCCGAACACTGGAAGCCTTCCATGACACCTGCCGGCAGTGACCCCACCCACCCAGGCAGCCCTGAGTGACACTGGCCCTGACCCCTTGCTGTCCACTCTCTGTCCAGCTCTGGCTGTCATGAAGGACCTTCTAGGAGCACCACCGGGGGAGGTCGCCCAGCCTAGACTTGGTATTCGCTGGCAATGCGGGTGAGTCCCCCAGTTTGCTGAAGGTGACTGAATGAGCCCTGTCACACGGGGGACTTTGTTTTGTGCTTGCTAAGTTATTTTTATAAGCAATAAACCTTTTGTACCCAGGCAAGGCCTCGTCTCCTCCTTACAGCGCCTTCCACGCTGGCTCAGTGAACAGGAGCGGGTGTGTGGACGCGGCTCTCTGGGGGTACCTCCCGCTTCTCCCTGCAGGGAGGCCAGCCTGGGTAATGCTCCCTTTCAAAGCCACCTTGGTGGCTTGAAAAATGATGGTTCCCTTTGAGAAAGACAGCAGGAGGTGTCTCTTCCCCTTAAACCAGTCCCACAGGTTCCCAGGGTGGGCGCCACTGTTGGCCTGGCTCTGCCCCAGGCATTACTATAGGTCCATCCAGTTTCTGGACACCAACTCGTGAAGCCATCATCCATTTCTGTGGCAATCTCTGCCCTGGCCAAGGACTTGAGGAGAGGACGTTTCCCAGGGAGTGACATCCGGAGGCACTGCCGTCTGAGCCGACCAAAGAAGGTCCTGGCTCCTCCTAGGTCCTACCTGTCCCCACCAGGCTGGCAGGCAGAGTCGGGGGCTTCAGTGGTGGGGACACCTGGCCCTGGGCAGCCTGCCCCGGACCTCCTAGGCAGAGGCTCCAGGGCCAGGCAGCACCGGGCAGCCTGAGAAGCAGCAGTGACAAGCAGGACACCTGCAGCAGGCAGCCCCCACTGAATGCCACTGTTCACCAGATTTAAGATGCCAACACCCATTAGATGTGCCATTGTTTTATGAGCCTCCAAGAAAATACGCTGCCAATTAAGCTACTGCCAGGCCTCAGTGATGACCCTGTGTGGCACATGAGCCATCACACCAGCCTGTGGTTGCTTTGAAATGGCTTTCCTGTGTTCCCAGGGAGGCCATCTCTCCTGCCCAGTACCGGCCACCCCCTCCCAGTCACAGACCATAGCACAGTTTGTCAGCTCCCTGGATCCTCCTTTCATTGGTCTCCTGAGACTCTTTTTTTTTTTTTTTTATTTTTTAGTTGTTGGACACAATACCTTTATTTAACTTTATTTATTTATTTTTATGGGGTGCTAGGCGAGTGCTCTGCCACTGAGTCCCAGCCCAGCCCTCCAGAGACTCTCGATTGTTGGTTTGCAAGAAAACCCAGAGTGAGGGCATCAGGTGCACTAGCGCTGTTTCCTGGTGCTCGTGTCTTCAAAGACCCCAAGTATGCACATGGGATGACGCTGGCCACGCACCACCCACTCCGGCCACACGCAGGGGAGGCAAGTCCCTGGGGACTACCAGCCTCAGAGGTGCTGGAACCCAAAAGAACCTGAGGTCAGTGAAGCCGTGGATGCCGACTCGCATCTGAGCCATCAGATGTCCAGCTTCCAACCGCAGCTGTCTGGGCGGTCGGTCCCCTGGGCGCCAAATGCTCTCGGACTCCCTCTTGTCCCCGTCTTCTGCACAGGTAATGGGCCAGTAAGTAGCCTCAGAGGGCTAGTTCATGTGTGCACCCAGGAGCCGGCGCCTTGGCCCTATCCTCCGTACCTGATTGCCGTCCACAGGAGCACTAGGAAGGGTCCTGGGGCAGGAGTACAGAGGTGCAAAGGGTTGACCATTACAGCAGCACGGAGAGAGACAGGTCCTGTCCTCTCCTCCAGTGGCAGAGCTGGGGTGAGCCGCTTTCTCTGGCCTCCTGTGAGGCAAAGGGTTGATCCCCGGTGCTGGGAGGGAGGAGAGGCCTGTAGACGGAGGCTGAGAGTTGGTCACAATGGAGGCCGGGCAGTGGAGACCCGGGCAATGCCTGCTCTGCTGTTTTGCTATATATATATATATATTTTATATATAGAGAGAGAGAGAATTTTTTAATATTTATTTTTCAGTTTTCGGTGGACACAACATCTTTATTTTATCTTATGTGGTGCTAAGGATCGAACCCAGTGCCCCGCGCATGCCAGGTGAGCGTGTTACCGCTTGAGCCACATCCCCAACCCCTTGCTATATTTTTAACATTCCCTCACTTAAAAGGGGGCTGGGGACACGGGTCAGACCATTTAACCTTCGAGGCCTTTCTGTCTCTTCTCTTCCCATTGCTCGGTCCTGAGAGAGTCTCCAAGGCAGTGGAAACAGGACAGACTGCACCTGAAAGGGTGCTGGGAACAGTTCCAAGAGGGTGGGCTGTGAGGGAGGCCGGGAGGCTCCTGCCGTGCGGACAGTCACTGAGTTCCTCTCGCTGAAAGGAGCAGGTCCACCATGGGTGCTGTGGTGACGGAGCCAGAACATGATTTGGACTGTCCAAGGGGACCTCTAGGCCAGGTCTACAAGGTACTCAAGAGTGACTTAATTATGACCCTACGGCTCAGCATCTACTCTGCCAGGTGCTTCACACGTGTCACCTACCCGCATGTCCTCTCCATCAGAGCGACCAGCCCTGCCATGCCGGGTGTGAGCCCCAAGTGTGGTCAGGACTCCTCTGCAGCGAGGCTTCCCCGGACAGCGCTGCTTCGCCCGTGCTTTCTGCTGTCTGGGGTGCCATGAGTCGCCCAGGCACCCGTCAGGAGCTGACAGAACAGAACACGCTGCCTGTGAAAGGTCGTCCAGACTCTCCCTGAACTAAGTTAGGAATCGGCCTTTTGGTATCGAGTGATGTTTTCACACTTCACACCACGGGCGGCATGAAATGATGATCTTTCAGTGTTTATGCACAAACTCACCATTGCATTCCGAGTGTCAGAGAGTGGGCCTGATGCTAAATCGAGAACCTTTTAAGGTCATCCCCATCGAGAGAAGGACAGCTTCAGCCACCAGGATTCTCAGAAGATCCAGAACCCCTGCCCACCATCCAGGAGGCATCGTCCGTCCAGCCATTTGACCAGGGAGAGGCACGCTGACTGGTGGCTGTGGGCTGGCAGCAAGGGCGGGCCAGCTCCCCGCGCCTGTCCACTCCCAGTGCAGCGGCCTGCTGGGCTGTTCTGCCTTGTGGAGCATGGTCAAGGCCACACGGTGCATGAGGAAGACAGCCAGAAGGGAGGGGCTGCACAGGCCGTCCTTGTGCCCAGGGACTGACTGAGCTTCAGGCGCTAGAACGGGCGGGCCCTGCCCCAGTCTCCACCAGCCCTCCCTGTGTCCCCAAATAGAGGAAAGGATCTCAGAAACTCGCTTTCCAGTTGAATTTTAAGTTGGGAGCGGCTGTTCCCTATCATTAGTACCTGAAGAGCTCAACCTTAAAGTTCACGAGCACATCCCAGGGAGAGCGCCGTCTTGGCAGCTTGGAGATGATTAGTTACTCCAGAAAGCTCCGGCCTCTCTGTGCTAATTGAGTTTGAAACTCCAGCCAGACTGGCTGTCCCCCAGGGCAGCATGCGCTGGAGTGTGGTGCCCAGGGAGCAGGCAGGCCTGCCCCTGCCGGCTTGGTAAAGACCATGGACCGTCCCTCAGGAAGGCGAGGACAAGGCGCAGGGAGTGACCTGGCACAGGTAGGTGGGGTGGAGAGGAGGGGAGGAGGCACCCCAGGCTGGGATGGCTTGTTGCCAACACGTCACTCACGTGTCCTTGGCTCTGTCTCAGTCATGGTCTTGCTTCCTTAATTACAAAAGGAATCCATGTGTTCCTTTTGTAGAAAATCAGGTACCGTGAAAAAGCGAAGAAAACAATACCTGTGACCCCCACGTGGTAGGTGAGCACTAGAGCCCTGGGGCGCATCTTTCCAGGCCTGTGTGTGGCAGAAAAGGAGGTCATGCACATGCTCTTCTGAAACCCGCCTTGCCCCTGAGCAAAGGCCAAGCTGCTGTGTCACGGCCCACAGCTACGGTGGCTCAGAGGCCACAGACACTGTCTCCCCTTCACCTCCAGGGTGGGGACAGAGCTCAGCTTGCCTAGCGACACGAGACTCTGGCTTCCGCCCCCTATCCCGGAAGAGAAGAGAAGCGCTCCAAGCAGCGCGGACAGTTCCACTCCGTGTCACTCAGGGTTCCTGGGCCCTCTCTTAGGACGTGGTCTGCATGGTGGCAGTTGTCACTGTTTTAGTCAGCCTTTTCAATGCTGTGACCAAAAGACCCCACAAGAACGGTGTTAGAAGAGGATAAGTTTACTTGGCACTCAGGGTTTCGGAGGCCTCAGTCCTTAGAAGGTCGGCTCCACGACTCTGGCTGAGGTGAGGCCACACATGGCGGAAGGTTGTGGTGGAGGCAGGCAGTCGGGCCGACCGAGAGCCGAGAGAGCTCACCAGGGACAAAATACGAGCCCCAAAGGCACAGCCCCAGTGACACCATCCTCCAGCCACACCCTACCTGCCGACAGTTACCATCCAGTTGGTCCATACTAATGGATCAGTCCCCCATTAGGCTCCCATAACCCAATCATGTCACCTCTAGCCCTTCTTGATTGTCTCCCATGAGTCTCTGAGGAGCACCTCATGTCTGACCCATAACTGACACATTCCCAGTTTGCAGAAAAGGAAAGGCACACAGGGATCATATGCCAGCATTTTGAGTGTCAGACCCCATCCCGGCAGGCAACAGTTCCTCTGCGTTTCGTTAACAAAAGCCCAGTGCCTGGCAGCAAGGGCTGCTGGGAAGCGCCTACCAACTGAGAGCGGCTGTTAGCTGACAGCGCCATTTCCTTGAGGATCACCCAAGTGGTGCCTTGTGTCACCAGTCTTTTTTGTTGCCAAGTAATACTCCGCAGTGTGTATGTACCACGCTGTTTAACTGCTTAACCCTTTGGGGGATATCTGGGTGGTCCTAAATTGGGGCCATTCCAAAGAAGCTGCTGAGCCTTGTGTACTAGCCTCTGCATGAAAATAAGCTTTCCTTTCTGTGGGATGTGCCCATGCATATAATTGTTGGGTCATGAGATAAGTTCATTTTTAATTTCAAAAGGAACGGCCAAGGGCTGGGATGTGGCTCGGTGGTGGTGGTGGTGGTGGTGATGGTGGTGGTGGGGGGGGGGGCTCCTCTCGCACGCGAGGCCCTGGGTTCCATCCCCAGCACAGGGAGAAACACATAAACGAAGCTCCCAGGTGGCTGTGCTAGTTGACCTTGCCCCTGCTGTCAGTGAGGCCCAGTCTTTCCACGCCTTCACCAGCATTAGTACTGTCTCTGCTTACTGTAGACATT